TAGCGTAATAAAACTAGTGGGCCATGGAGGATCTACCGTGAAAAGTTTCGGCATCACAAAGCGTGAGTGACTCTCGGTATTGCGCTACTACTACTACTACTACTACTACTACTACTACTACTACTACTACTACTACTACTACTACTACTACTACTACTACTACTACTACTAATAATAATAATAATAATAATAATAATAATAATAATAATAATAATAATATTAATAATAATAATAATAATGATGATGATGATGATAACGTAACTAGTTTCACGCACGTCAACCCCCATATGATTATTAGGCACGCTGTAGTGTAGGGCTTTAGAATTTTCGACCACTTCGGTTTATTCAGCGTGCGCTTATATCTAAGTAGACGGGAATCTAGCATTTAGCCTTCATTGAAACGCGGCCGCCGAAGTCGGCATTGAACCCGCCAAGCGAGTAAACACTCGCTAGGTAAAAGGAAAGTTCAACAAATAGGCCTGTGGTCATGCTTAGCCTATCATCAATAAAGTACAATCGCATCCACGGACTGTTAAGACGTTTCTTTGCCGCGCAATATGTAGCAGGTCTACGAGTGATCTGATTGGACTTGATAGGACACGAAAGCTGTCAATTGGCAGGGTAAGGCTAAGGAACAGCGCACTTAATCAGAGTAAGAAGGCTTTAGAGATTTCATGCCTCCTTGAAGTTTTCTGGGGACGTCAAAACGTTAGAACTTCCTTCTCAACATTTTCACGTAACGTACAGAAGCTGGTATTAGAAAATAATCAGTACACATCGCAACCTCTTATTGAATATATTTGACCCCAGGAATTTTTCCGAAGCGCCGTATTAGATTATTTACATTATACTGAATTTTAAGACCACCTGAACGACAGTTAATGCGTTTAAATACCTAGGTCTCGCAATAACACATAACCTAAAGAGGCACGCACACATTGATAATGTTTGCTCTAGGGCTTCACAAACGTTGTACTTAATAAAAACTTCAGGGTGCAAGAATTGACGTAAAACTTCTTGCTTTTAAAACTTTTATGTGGCCGATACTGGAATATTCCAGTATTGTGATGGGGAATCCCCATCAAAAAGTGCTGGTAAATAAACTTGAACAATGAACGCATACAACGGCTTGCGGCTCGCTTTATATGCTCATGATATAAGCAGAACGACTCAGTCACAGAAATACCACAAGTCTGTGATTTGAAGACGCTCAACAAGCGCAGACGTAAAAATAGATTAAAAGATTCTCTTTCAATTGATTGATTGATATGTGGGGTTTACCGTCCCAAAACCACCATATGATTATGAGAGATGCCGTAGTAGAGGGCTCCGGAAATTTCGACCACCTGGGGTTCTTTAACGTGCACCCAAATCTGAGTACACGGGCCTACAACATTTCCGCCTCCATCGGAAATGCAGCCGCCGCAGCCGGGATCCAAACCCGCGACCTGAGGGTCAGCAGCCGAGTACCTTAGCCACTACACCACCGCGGCGGGGCGATTCTCTTTCAATTAATGCAAGGTGAGTTTAAAATTAACAAAAAATGAATACATATAACAACCTGGGAAACGAAGCGAGAGGGCAAACACACGAGTACTGCAACCTTATTTAGCGCGACGAAGACGCACCGTTATACTTTTTTTTCCCTGATGTCATCGAAGATTTTAATGGGTTACCGAGTAGCATCGTCAATGCGAGTGATGTTAATGAATTTGTGCATTTACTTTATTTACATTTATGCGATTATTGCGATTGATTATTGCGATTCTGATCTGTTGCATTGCGAATCAGGGTGTTTTTCGTTTTCGTTTGGAATGCAGAGCTTTCACGGATTTGAATATATGTATACCTGGTTTATCAAGATGAGATGTATATTTATGTCCTTAATTGGTTTGTACAGTGTGTGGTACCTTTCCAGTAATGACCCTCAATAGAGGGTTGACACTATTTCTAAATCAAATAAATAACGACCTTTGATGTCTCGGCCATAATCTGGACAATAATTTTTAAACAATTATGTCTCATGAACAAGACTCCCAAAACTTTTTTGCATTTGTCTACATCTACATAATGCGTTCTCAGCTTAAGCCTGTCAGCAAGAACATACAATATATCGATAAAAAGGTTACTGATACGCTTTGTCACATATACGTCGCTTATACAATATACCTGAAATAAAGCTGAATGGAATTGAATTGAAAAAGACACTGATAATAAAACAACATATTCAACATATCCAGCATTTTCAACCTTTGTCATACTTCGATAGTTTTGTTTTCTACAAAAACGCAGACGCTTGAAATTACAAGCTTTAAGGTCTGGTTGAGATGACGGAAGGTCTTGCAACACGATACGACTGAAAGTCCCGGGAACTGTTAGAATGACGTTGAAGATTGACGCAATTAAAAAGAGAAAAGGCAAGGGGAACTTTAGGCTAGACGTTGCAACCATTTCCTTCAACAGGAAGACTTGTCTTCGTCATGAAGGCAGGTCATATTTCCTGGATTTTGGTTAAAGATCGAGTATTGAGTATCTTCTGCTTAGTCACTTTCTGTCACAACACGTCTTATAAATTTATATTGAAATGGTGTTAACTATAATAAAAACAATTCAATACTTATTACAATTGAATTTATCGAGGCACGAAAAAAGCAATGAATTGTCGCAGGCACATTACGCATCATAATAGACACTTGTTTTTACGAACCCATTTTTGAAATTTAGAACGACATAATGGAACAGCTGGGTATTTTGATTTGCAATTTGATTGACCCACTGATGGCTTTTTCAAAACATTTGTAAGATGTCTGTGCGAAATACGAAGTGAAAAATTCCTTGAGCTTCGTGGCGTCATCTGAAGGTTCACATGCAAGAGACCAAGTGAGAAGTCAACTTGGGTGATTGAGAACCAAATAAAACATTGTTGGAGTACTAGAAATATTGTTGTCACATTTCTCGCACTAAGGACAACCATCACTTGCGGTCAAACAAAAACAAAATAAAACGCGCGTGGTCCAGAAACACCTAACTGCGTAAAAGATAAACTTCCTCATATGAAGTAAAAACTCAAGCCAAACTGTTTAGTTTCATAGCGCAATACAATATAGGTGCGAATGACGGCAATAAATGTTAGCTTCATATTGTTTTATCATTCAACACCGAATCCATTGTAAGTCATGTACGAGTTGATTATATGCTGACAAATGAATGATATTGCGGAAAGCAGGTGCATTGAAATATTGCAGATGTTGTTGACGAAATAATAAAGTCACCAATCTTGCTTTGTTTTCTCGTATACGTTTTGTTTCATTTGCTATACAAATATTTACTAGGGTTAGCCTAAACACTCATTATTATGAAACGGTGGAACGAAGGGACGATGAACAACGACGATGAGGAAGGCACCAGTCTTTGTTTATGATTCATCGTTTGTAGTTATCGTCCCTTGGTTGCACCGCTTCGTAATCGCTAACCCTTACCAACTTGTTCAACTAACAAAGGCAGCCTAAAAGGCAAACATCTTTTCACCACGCCGATCAAATCATATAAAACCTAAATAAATAAACACAGATACTTGGTATGGAACAACGTGTTTTTTTTCTAAGGGGAACTTGCAATCGATGCGTTTATGCTAACTCCAGGCCCATTTGGCAAATTTAGTCAATCACTCGAGCTATCCCGAGCAATCCATTAGATCTCTGTGCTATCGTCCGCTTGCTGGGACCTGCTTTGCTCTTGTTAAAAATGGCCCGAACAAAAATACCGATATCGAAGTGTAATTGAAATATACACTTAAGTATTACATCAATTAATAATTTTATGGCTATGTTGGCCGGGTATGTACACATGAAATAATCATGCATGGTAAAAAAAACTAAAAAAAAACACCACAGAGGAGTTAATAAGACCGGATGACTCGCTATTGCACTGTGCTATATCTTTCGGAATTTTTTCAGGCTGGAATATTCACCATCTCGCCCAACTTTAAATGGTACGAGAAATATCGATGTAGGTGCTGCACGAAAGCGCTACAATTCTGTTGTCGCGTCTGGTTTATCGTGCTTAAATTTGGGTTTTTAAGCACCAAGTATTGTGTTCGGAAAACAGTATACATTGGGATTTCTGGTGTTCGTGGAGGTCTCCGCGAAATGCAATGCATTCATGAGGGAAATGCACAATATAATTGCATTCCTCCGTGGAAACGCCTTATATATTTTCTGAAAAATTACGCATAACAATCTATCTTCAATAATTATATGCTGTGAAATGCAAATTTCTGTAAACATAAGCCTAAATATAATGTTGACCTTTTCGCGGGTACAGAAGAAATGCGAGCTTAGGCATTCGTGCCATTTAACCAAAAAATCAACAACAACAAAAAAAAACTTGATTACAAAAAGCTTACAAAAAAGGCACGCTCACCTCTCGAGTCTTTACGCTGTTCTTGTTATCGCACTGTCACTGCAAAAAACTTGTGTCTTACAAACTCGCTAGGTCGTTAATTAATTAAAGTAGTACATATTGCAGGTCGTTAAGGTACGACTTATACGGTAGACGCTTGCGATCTAACTCATACCTAGCACCACACATTCAGCACATGTTGAGGCTGCACGGTAAATGTTTAACCTGTCTCTCATTGGAGCCTTCGCTGGCACAATAGTTTGCGAATAATTTGCAGTAGGACATTATGTTCCAGAAACATAAAAAAACATACGAGTCTTCTGAGCTGTTTTCAAAAGAGCGTTCTTGTTTACCAAGTCGTTAAGCTGTTCAGGCACCAATCAGGTTCCTTAAGATTCAATGGCGCCCTTCGTTCAAAGCTTGTTATTGCACAGTAGAAGGCTGTCGCCATCTTGCCGGCATAGGTCTGGCACCAACGACTTTCCACTCCCCCTCCCGTTCGCTTGCAGGATATTTTCTGCACGAAAAAAAGACACAAAATCCACACGAGACCATAACTCAGGGGTGAAGCCACGCTTTTAGGAGAAAAGCGCCGTCTGTTACTCCGCTACACCAAGCGCCGTTCCAGTGGGCGGAAGTACAAGCACCATTTTCGGGTGGCGAAAACAATGCCGGCCTAGGGCCAATTACTCCTGCAGCTGCCATTGGTGCTCAGACTGTTGGGTGCTCCTTTTGCACACGTGCATGGTACGAGAGAAAGTGCTTGCAGAATGGGGGTCACCCCATAGACTCCAGAGACCACAGTTTCCATGGTAACAAGGAGGCACTCCCAGGAAGAAGACGTGCGTTTTAGACCATTTCTAGTCTAGGGCGCTAAGGGGATGCGGCGCACGAGTGCCTGTCATTCGGATGCTATTAGCCCGAAGGCGGGCGAATATCTACAGCGAGGCTGATTCTGCGAGCTCCATAAGAAGTGACCGCACTTTCTATGGCATTTTGAACTTATACGGCTCTCCGTTGGTTTGTTTCCGTTCGCTTGGGCTTTACGCGAAGCTGCGCACTTTTGCTGCAAAGTCGGCGAAGAAGCTTTTAGCTAGCTGTATGTTTCCTGCGCAAATTGGAAGCTCCTCCGGCGGTTTGGGCGTGGCCTATAGAAGTGGCGCCATCCGTGCTTTTCTACACTTTTTTGAGCTTTTACGAGACTAGGGGTGCTGTAACGTACAAGAGTACATCCATTTCTCCTTCTCTGTCGTTCTCCGTCTTTTGACGCGTTCTTACTCTCTCTCATTGTGGATGAAATGAGCATGTACTGCGATGTTATATTGTGGGCACGTGCACGCACATTGAAGAAGCCCGCATGTATACCAAGTACGAGCTAAAGTAACAAGTTGTCACAAGCAGCGCCACGTAAACAAACAAAGAGTTTAAGAAAAGTGTGTAACAGAAAATGAGATTGTACCAAATCAAGTGTGATTGCTGTTTCATCTCTATGTTAAACGTATCTTACGATATGCCGGGACGTATCTTAAAACTGAGAATATGCCTCCAATGTCGCAGCAAGGTTAGTTTTAGTAGGCCTCGTTGAGTGTAACATTTGTGCTTTTCTTCAGCAGGTGTCGACCAGTTCGCAATTTCCCGTGGCCTCATTCTCTCAGGTCTCTTCGTCTTGACAGGCTGCTGGTGTAAACTGAAAAAGAAAAATAAATAAATAGAAGGAATTATTATTTAGACATTGCAAAATTTCACGCAGGATTGTTGCAAGACGTGTCAGTCATGTTAGATAGTAGCAGGTACTGATATAAAGAACTCTCTTGATTTGGGCCTCATACTGTTCTATTTTTTTTGTTTATACAAAGAAAATGGAAGCTTGCACAATATTTCATATGCTCGATGTACTATCTGAATGTTTACATACGAACGCGAAAGAAGAAAAAACTATGTCAGCATTTGCAGACGTATGAAGCAGCGTATATATATATATATATATATATATATATATATATATATATATATATATATATATATATATATATATATATATATATATATATATATATATATATATATGTTTGCAAAATGTCAAAACACAGGTTCGCAGCTGAATGGATGAATGAATGAAAACCACTTTGGTGCAATTTTATGTTTCATGTAAACATTGAAAACGCCGAATATCACAGCTGCATTTCACCCAAATGCACTTCTACGAATTCATACCGCTACATATCTGTGGAGCGCATGAAAAGGGAATATCATAAAGGCATGAAAAGCCGTGTTTGCGAGAAACTATACTCGTGCTGAAAGGTTAGAAATTAAAAAAAAACTCAAGTAGTTGTCGTTCATGCCTCGTAAGCGTGCAGTGATTACACTGCGCACTTTAAAAAAAAAAAAAACCTGCTCGAAACATTATAATTTGGTTCAGGACTCTATACCTGCTATGGTTACAAATTTTTCAACAAATAATAATGAAGACAACCACATTTTTGTAAAAGAAATTGATAGATCACTAGAATGAATAGTACGTCTACGCAAAAGGGTTTTTCGTAAACAAATAAAGATGGTGCAGCTTGCCTTCCCTCACAATTTCATAATTGTGTATCTCGTACGCAATACTGTACTCGCGAGGATTTGAGCACGTGAATTCTCGATGGATTTAACGATGTATATTGGTTGAATATTGTGACGATTGCGGTTGCTTTTTTCATTCTTTTTTCTCTCGAACATTATCGGGCAAAATTTGTCGAACACCATCTGCTGCCGTGATAAGCTTCAGGACACCTTATATCAATTAGTTGAGAAATATTTCTGTTCAAAAATCCGAGGAAAGACAAATCGCGGATACCGTCTCCTCCTCAAGTTCCGCTTTTCTCTGTTTGTTGTCAGCCATGTTTCACCCAACAACATCTAAAATATAATGCTACATTGAAAATGAAACAGAAAAGCTACGTTACCAGGGTGAATGAGTGTTCGGACCAGCTCAAGATCCTATTGGTCGGCGGCGCCACCAATACACCCAGGAATCAATAGACTAAACAAGAGATAAAAGAAATTTGTCCGGTAGCTCCTTCTCAACCTGTAGGTAGACTTTTTATCGTTCTTCAAACTGGCGCCACGGACAAATCTTTGTTTAAACGATAATGGCTGACATTGATTTATACGCTGGGAACATCCGCGCATTTTAGAAACGGAGCGAGCGGTGATAGCGAAGGTCGGCAGTCGCGTGTTCTGGCCGACAGTAGCGGACTGCCTTCTTAAACGTTTATATCATTTAGAACAGTGAAAGAAGAACCAGCGAAGTTTGGCGGGTGCTCCAAACCTCTCAAAGCGTGATAAGATTTCGAAGAAGGGAACGGTCCGAAATGCGGAGTCTGAGAAAGCACCAGGCCGAAGACACTCTGTCTCGGTTAGGGGACACGCGTCTATCAAACTTTGCAGGTTCGGCTGCTGTCGAAGGAAACGTGACCTCATACACATGGCTGTGGAAATTAGCTGGATTTTCGTGTATCCAGCCGAAAGCTGCTTTGTCCCAGCTGCCCTAGATTACCGGCCTTTCCCAGAAGCCAAGAGTTTGCAACACCTCATAGGGGATTCTGTTTGACGCTTAAAATGACGAAATGAGTCGTATAAACGAAGAACGACACAATATACACGTATTGAACAGAACGTATGGTGCCCAAGGTAGTTTCTCCTATTATGACTTTAACCTTTAAAACAACTCTTTTGTCTTGTCATTATTAAGCAAGAAAAAAAGAAACATTGCGACAATAATTCAGTACATAGCCGAGCAGAGCACTAGGTTGAATGCGCTATAGACGTCACCAGCAGACGTTTACAACTTCTGCAATGATTTTTATTGCAGTAGAAAAACTGCGAGATTTTCAGTATTTTGAAATGTACGTGGTTTACGGCTGAGAATAATGATGAATTGAGAAAATATTGCGTTTTTTTACACCTCATAGACGACAACGTCTGATTATGGTAACTGGATATATGCGTTTACCGTCGTATCCCCTATTTTAGTGTGAGTTCTTTTTTCTGACTATTTAGTTCTCGGTCATTTGCAATAATGTTTTTTTCCGAAAGAAAACATGTAATGTGCTATACAGTATCGCTTTCGTGAACTTTACTTTTACATCACGATAATTCGAAGGAATGCAGTGTCCAGGCAGACATGTAGCACTCACCAAAAGTGTAGTAGTCTATTATCATAAAACCTATAGCCCAAATTACTCTCGTAACCAATCATTCCAACGAGTTCCTGATTATTCTGCAAACATTTCCGCGAAATCTTGTGATGTGACTCTGAAGGTTTTCAATATATACAAATGTGCCATAAATGAATAATATTTACACGACAAAATTAATCATCAGTCTTTAGAAATACCTATCAAACAAAATGCTGTTAGCGTTTGGTAACTACCCGATATTTGTCTGAACTGATTTCAATTAGTCACACTCGTTGCGAAACGACGTTATGACCGGTAATATTGTTAAGTCAACGCCACAGTACTATCTATTCATTGATTGCGTGAGACAGACGTTACGCTTGAATGCAGAAATAACCAGTTTGTAATGCATCATTATATTTAGTGATCGAAAAAAGTAGGTTAGAGCCGCCCAATTTAAAGTGTCGTTAGCCTTTGATATTCAATTTATCAGAGGATATCTTGTAGTGACAATTAGCTTGTTTTTATGACTCCTAATACTGATCATTAAGGTTGCGCACAGTATGCCTATCAATTAGGGAATTTTTTTTTGCTTAAAAAGAAGCTTACATTTATAAATAATCAGTCTGAGTTTGTTGACATATTGCAAAATTAACTGCGCGAGCTTCAACGCTTCTCCGCCATGGCATCGCAGTCGTTATTGTGTCCGACTGCTCAGATAAAGGTCGCGGGCTCGACCCCGGCCGCGGTTAGAGGTCGCCTTTGATTGGAGCAGAATCGTGACAGGCACATGTGCTGTGCGATGCGCGTCAAAGAACTCAGGATGGTCGGAATTTCTTGAGCCCTCCACTACATCATTTCTCAAAATCACATCTTGGGACATAAAACCCCCCACATTATCAACTTAATCTCTTCTCTAATGGCTGTTCATGTGACCTTCCATTATAAATAAAAGAACTGTCTGCCTGTATGTTCCTTTATATTTTACAACAGCTTTCATTTATGATTAACGTAAGAAATACGCTGCGGTGCTGAAAGTTGTGCAAAAATGTTCATGCCACGGAAAAATAGGTTCGAATAAGAACAATTTGTTGAATAGAAAATTTTGTAGTTAGCAACAAAAATTGTTGCAACGTATCATTACTTTGGTGTAAATGGTGGCGTGTTCTCTATCTCGTGTGTGCCGGTGACACTTGTAAATATACCTTTTGTAAAATAACATCTGAAACGTAAACGAAGCGGTCAATTCCTTCCCAATTAGCTTTCATTTGCCAATATTTTGGAGATATTGTTCTGAAGGGTTATTTGAAAATGAAGTATGAAACCGGTCTTCTTGCTTTAGATTTTACATGAACGCCTTTGATATAGTATTTCGTGGCTTTAAGCCACATATAGACTATTACTGCGTTGTTTGTAAGAGTAATCATACACACTTTTTTATCAAGTGCTTTCTATTGAAAATTTCCTGCTGAACCCTCAGTAGACACAGCGTCAGCATCATGTAAATACTACACATACTGTGATTTTCGGTTGCTGAACGCAAATGGGTGTGCATTGCTAGCTTCGTAATTCATTTTCTTGAATTTTTTCCCATATCACACACGTGCATAGCGTCTCTTACTATGATTAAAGGATATGAGTTGGGAATATAGGACTCATCTTGTATAGGTAGCCTTACTTTTTATAACAAACGTGATTGCATGCACTATCGAGATTTACAAACATGCAAGCACGCGCGATTACAGATGTCCATCAACTACGGAGGTGATTATTGGCGACTCATATAAAAAGTACAGGAATTGTGGCAGACATATCTTTGTCTGTTAAGCACTTTCTGAGCATCATTTCGTGTGTCGAGTTTGATTATCACTAACTCTATCGGCCTGCGCCCCGAATGGTGAGCAACAAAAAACATACATTATTACACGCATTTTCTACAGCAGTCTACCATCACTGAATGACAAAGGCTACGAGTAAAAGAAATACTTTTGTTTTTCTATTGAATGTTTGTCCCGCGTCCTTGCGCCGTATGTTTACGAGTGAGGTGGCCGGGGAAAGTTCTGGACGAGGAATGCTCCTTTTACCCTAAATAAATTCATACACGAGGTCATATTCATATCTAATTTGCGGCATTCAGTAGAACGACAAAGTACACCCGCAGTTATGACAACATGCAATACGTGCCTAATCATTTCCAAAGCCAAAGCAACCCACTTTCTTCCCCTTGTTCCCGCTGTTAATTCATAACGACGATGTTTAAAATCATCTCTTCCACATTCATATTACAAAAGTTCAAAACAGACTGTTTTGATTTATCATTGATTGCTGCAAAGTTGCAGACTGTTTTCGTTAATTGCGCAAACTATATTGCTTTTGTTCAACAGCGGTCGAACACGGCAACTGAGACCGAACACAACGCCAGAGAATCCGAGTGATTGCGCTTGTAAATATATGCACATACGATCCCTGTTGCATGCTGATACGGTCGGATGTTTCTGGGTAAAGCAGCACAGGTCGTTGACAT